GGAAGAGAGACAGGCAGACAGAGCAAGCAAGCGAGTGAGACAGAAGGCAGAATTTCCACTCTCCTTAAAGTCAAGCTGATGTTCCAGACAGTAATGAGAGTTTGTATGAACCTGGCCTTGGGACACTGTGTGTGTGTGTGTGTGTGTGTGTGTGTGTGTGTGTGTGTGAGAGAGATGTCCTCGCTCCATCTCAAACATCCAAGATGCATCATAATAACATCACAACAGTTAGTGAAAGTCTGTACACTGTATGCTCCAGTGATTTCCACAGAAAGAAAAACAGTGAAAAAGGAACGCGTGCGTCTATCTGGAGAGCCTCGTGTCTGTTTAAAGCCACAGTTCAGGCAAAAATCTCATTTACATAGTTTCCCTCTTAGCCCAAACTGTAGTCCATCAGCCAAGATGTGTTTGGTGTCTGAAGTTTGCTTCTTTAGTTGTATGCTGGAGCTACGAGGCTAATGTAGCTAACAAGTAAAGGAAGCTTATGTACACCCGTTAGTTTGTCTCATACATCCCTAATACATTTGCTCACGTGGTTTCTGACAATGTGTGATATACTGTTATCTATAAACAAACATGGACAAAAGTACAGCCAAATTTCAGATGGCTACCACTGTTTTTAGCTACACGCTTTCGTTGGAGGTAGGTTTGAAATGATATAGGCACATCAAAACTGTCTCGGCTTACTGATTATATTTACAGTAAGAGAACATTGTGCAAATTTGATTTTTGAACGAACCATCGCTTTAAATCAGCTTCTTACAGACAGAATGACAAAAACGGTCAGTTTAAACATTCTGCTGGAGTGAAGTGTGTGCATGCAAGTTGAGTCAGCCAGGATGTGTACTTCACCCTGCAGTCTGAGACCAAGCTCCACAGAGTGTCCTCAAGCGTTTTCAAAAGGATGAAAGACAGTCTGCATTGCATTTAGGAGACGGAATGTCTAGAGACAAATATGTACATATAAATACTGCCAAACAGTAAGGGGGGGTGTACTCACTGACCATTTTATCACCCTTTAACACCCTGCCCATTAATGGAATGGATCACCACAACACTATTTGCATATCGCTGCAGTCCAAAGAAAGCCATGTATGTCCATTTTTTGTCAATTTTGTCCTTTTCATTGTGTGAAAAATGTATGATGTTTGGAGCAATAGAAATGCTCTAAAATCACTCGAAATAAAATCTCTTCACAATAACTTACGTTAAAAGGTAAGCGCATGTTCTCTGAGTTTGCCTGAGCACAAATCTGAAGACAAATTTTTAGTGATCAAACCAAATTTCAACAAGTTTTTAACCATACTAAATCCAGTCCCTTGGTCACACAGAACTACAGGTTTTTTAATGAAACAACAGAAAATCCAAATCTGACTGTGAATAACAGTATAAAAATAACAAACATCAGAATTGAAATGATCACTGTGAGATGATCATCCAATTTATACATTTTTACCACTACAGATCAATCATACAGTAGCATGAGGAATGCATTTTGGGCACAGCATGGACAGCTCAGTTGTCTGAGATATTGCTCTACTACACTTTAACACTGTTCCCAAAATGGGACTAGCTCCTTTAGTTGGGGGGGAAAAAAGGTGATGTTTGAATAAAGTCTGCTCGGTCAAAAACTATACATAAGGGTTTTTTTTTTTATGACTGTGGCTTATTTACCTAAACGGTCATAACTGACATTTATATAACCGTTTTTCCAATCTGTCATCATAAAAACAGCCTAGTTTTGTACGATATGGGCCCCTTTAAAGTCAATGTGAATGGAAAATTATATCACCTTTTCTTCCCATACTGTGGCATATTTCTGAGCGAATCGCTATGTCAAGGAGGGTCTCTGAGCTAGCTGAGCATTTTCTCTCATTGACAGGTGGAGGTGGTGGGAGGGAGGTATATTATTATTTTTATGTAAAGTAAATACATTTCAATGGAAGATTACATAAATACAAGAATTTTGTCTTTCAAATGATATGAAGAATCGTGCTTAGTATGACCAGATGAACTAATAATGAAGGTAAAAATAAATAAGTACATAAATAAATAAAGGTCCACTTTGACTTTAAAGCCTAAGTCACAGATTCATTTTTAATAGTAAGTGGCTTTTAAGAAGAAAAAGTAAATCCTGAATGTATTACTTTAAAAGTCGAATCACAGCTGATTGGCTCTGACTCATCACTTCTCTCTAAAGCTTTCAAAGTCACCTGGAGGAAGTGAACGACTCTCTCTGTGGGAAAGCTCTTTAAATATGCACAACGATGGAGTACTAAAGAGACTGAGGCTGATCTGGAGGCAGCTGGAGGCTGGAGGAAAATGAAGGCGGCTCATCAGGAGCGCAGAGCCCTGCTGGTCCCGGATCAGCTCAGAATGAGTTACAGAGCTGTAATTAGAGCCCTCAGACGAACACATGAGCCGGAATAGATTAATTGGTGTGTTTGGTGGTTAGTGGAGTTCTGCTCTTTATCCTTCTTTTTCCTCATTAACGCACACCCCTGTGGTGCTGAGTCACATGAGTGAGTACGAGGACACACACATACGCACAGGCTGTCAAGTCACGTACAAATTCACACTCAAATAACTGACGATAAAAGTGCTGAGAATCTCTCCTACCAGCTAATCAACACACACAGCTGTGCCACCTCTGTTGCTATATTCTCCTCAGCCAGCGTGCATAATTTTAGCCCACCACAACTACAAACCCTCTATTAACACTTGTTTTTATACAATTCCAGGACATGGGCTCATTAGGGCTTATTTGTTGATCATTAAAGTCTTTCAGAGTGGTTTACTGCATTAGATGTAATAGGAGTTTAAAAAGCTACTATTTTCTTTTAGATTTTAAAGTAAAGATCATTTCATGGCTTTTTGGTAGCTAAACACATACAGACTGGGAATATTTTTGGTTCCAACCCATTGTTACAGTGTACACAAATGCTTTCAGAGCTGTTTACTGCACTAGGTCTAAAACTAGTCATTATTATCTCATACTTTGGTCTGGCGTGAAATGCTCCGTTCTAGAGAAACTTACGGTCAGAATTGTTCACTGTGGTGGTGATGGGAACCAGACGTCTGAAGAGTTTAATGTGCCTGAAAGCTTCCTCACAGCAAGCTATTACAGGAAACAGTTACAAATACGATATTTTGAGAACATTTGAGAAAACATATTTTTTAAACTTCATTCATGGTAGAGAAGTAGAGTGAGAGGCAGAGAGAGATGTAGGCCAACATCACATAAGAACCCATGTGTAGGTTTCTTTTAGACATTGTGGCCCTTGGTTCCCATCACCACCACTTTAAAGAAATGAGAGTCAGTATGTTCTGTACAATGAACCATTTCACATCAGAACACTAAACTGCTGTAGGAAACACAAATTATACAGGTTTTTTAAAAAATTGGTGGAATTCCCCTTGAAGGAGCTAAAACTTTCAATAACCAATACAATTTTATACTGGCAAAAATTAAACAGTTTGCCAGTTTGTTTTCCTACAAAGTCAGGACATTTACTGTCCTAAAAATCTACGAAAACAAACACAAACACACACTAATAGACATGGATGGTTAAGAGACTGAGTGAATGCACAGCAGCAGAGAGAAGATAAGGACAGATCTTCCTTTAACAGACTGGCAAGAATACAGAAAGCCTACAGGAGACAAAAGAGCCACTGGCACAAAGAGCCCACACTTTCTTAACCTTTAACAAGGCTTTTTCAATTCATCATTAAAACACAATGGCAGTTAGAAAAGAGCATCCGGTCCAAATACTGCATGTGTTAATTCAAAGGCCATGCTAACTCTGTTTTGCTGAGATTTGCCTTAACTTTTTTTATATGTCCAAAGGCTGTATTTGTAAAACAATAACAATAACAATAACCATTTCACAATAAGCCCATTTTTCCTTTTCCCTTTTTGTTTATCCCATTAAAACTCAGTAGACAGAAAATGACTGAAGCCTTGTTAAACTCTTCCTTTTGCCACAAAGTAGATGTACACATTTCAGAATGGTTTGGAAATCCATAAATGACCATAAATAGAACCGGATCATGATTAAAGTGTCATAACAAACATGTTACGTGGACCATACATGAACAAATACATACATTTCTCTTGTGTACGACAAAACGTATTATTAATTTTCGGTAGAGGGCATCTGAAACAATGGCATCAAGTCAAAATCACGTTTACAAGGATATTATAAGCAGTGACTGGCAGAGATTTTAAGGAAAATCTCTCTAAAGTTCAGAAAAGTCATTAAGTAAGAGGGTCTGTGGGGTCTGTGGTTACACAATCATATCGGCATCTGCAGATATACGCTTAACTTAAAAAAACAATTGGACAGATGATTAGATTTGACCAATATTTCAAAGCAATATTTGACTAATTTCTACACTTTATAAATGTTTCTAAATCAACATCAGTATCAGCATCATCAATTGTGTGCAAAGGTCTAGGCACCCTCGTCAAATAACGTTTTGCAGATTGTAAATAAGCTCATAAATCCTCTGCAGAGAACACACTTCTGCACACTTTAAATACACAATTACTTTTTATTTGCTGAATTTAAAATATCGGAATAACAACAAAACATATTGTGGCGTGAACCAAACTGATGACACATTATATATGTTCTGTTTTTCAAGTTAAACTCAGCAAATAAATACAAACTGTGCATTAAAATTGACCATATTTAAGCATGTTCTTTATAGAGGATGTGTTAACTTATTATTTTAGCCTAGAAAATCAACCGGGGTGTTCCAACTTTAGTATATAACTGTATATGAAAAACACCAGATATAAACACCAGCCGACAATTCTTTTGTCAGTGCATCCCTAAAAACATGAAGGTTTAAGCAGCATTGTGGCCTTTTCAAAGTCACTCCTGTTCTGTGTTGTTCTGGTCTGATTTCATATGAATTTCTGTGATTTGTGCACAGCGTTGTGAGTGTGTGTGAGTGAGCTGTGGGGTGTTTTCAGTGGTGGACATATCACTTACGTCCTCTGCAGGAGCAGACAGTAATCCACCACGACAGGAACCATGTCCTATACAGAGGGAGAGAGAGTGCTTAGGGCAGGGAGGAGTTGACATTGCTGGGTCATTGCTGTTTATGGTTTATGGCAGATGCTTTTTAAAGATAAAAAACCTCAGGGTTTGGGAAAGGCACAGACAGAATCCCTCTGTCATATACACACATATGCACAAGACTTATGAACCCAAAGCAGCTACATCCTCATAAAAGGATAAGGTCACGCAGACACAAATACCCACTTCTTTAATAAAAGCTTAAGCTTAAGCTTAATAAAATAAGGCAGGGGGGGTAGTAGCCTTTCACTGTCTGAGTCTTTATGAGAATTGCTTAAGAGTTATTTTCATTTTAATTATTTTTACTTGCCTCAAAGGCAAATAACAGTGCTGATATAAAGCTTGTGTAATTTTGAGTCAGTCTGAAATACTGAAGTTCTTATGACAAATGGTGCAAATGCAGCAGCTGCCCACTGGTTTCCACTGTAAGTGTGTTACGAGTCAGCATATATATATATATATATATATATATATATATATATACATATATATATATATATACACATATACACACACACACATACATACATATATGTGGGTGAGCTTGTTTGTAAAACACAGTTTGGTTCCATTAAAACTCCATACAGATTTCCCCTCAACACCCCAGCCTACATATGGAATAATTAAATTCTACCAGCAGCAAACATAGTACAATTATATCAAGGGTTGAATGAGCCAAACCATAACTCTGTATAATAACTACAAATAATACAGGGCTTCCTCTTGGAGAAGTTTGGAAATGACTACATGGTCCAACACAAACTGACAGACATAAAATCAATACTTACTGTATCTTTTTGTATTACATAATATAAATAAAAATAGAATGCAATGATATGCAAATCATTTAAACCATATTTTCAAAGGAAAATACTACAAAGACAACATATCAAATGTTGAAACTGAGAAAATGTATTGTTTTATGAAAAATATATGCCCATTTTGAATTTGTCACCAACACTTTCCAAAGAAGTTGTGACAGGGGCATGTTTACCACTGTGTTTCATCACCTCTTCTTTTAACGACACTCTGGAGGTGTTTGGGAACTGAGGAGACACTGCTGTAGTTCTGAAAATGAAATGTTTTCCCATTCTTGTTTGATATAAAATTTCAGCTGCTCATCAGTTCGGGGTCTCCTTTGTCGTATTTTTCATTTCATAACGCGCCAAATGTTTTCAGTGGTGGCAGGTCTGGATTGCAGGCAGGTCAGTTTAGCTCCTGGACCCTTTTAATACGGTGCTGTAATACATTCAGAGTGTGGTTTGGCATTGTCTTCTTGAAATAATCAAGGCCTTCCCTGAAAAAGACATTGTGTGGACAGCAGCATATGCTGCCAAAACAAGTATACATCGTTCAGCGTTAATGTGCCTTCACAGATGTGCATGTCACCCATGCCATGTGCACTAATGTACCCCTATACCATCATGGTTACTGGCTTTTGAACTGTAACAAGCTGAGTGGTCTTTAGCCTGGAGACAAAGTGTCCATGATTTCCAAAAAGAATTTTCAATGTTGATTTGTTGGACCACAGGACACTTTTCCACTTCCCCTCACTCCCTTTGAAATGAGCTCAGGCCCAGAGAAGGTGGCAGCATTTATGGATCCTGTTTATATATAGTTTCTTCTTTGTGTTTTTAGAGTTTTAATCTGCATTTGCGGATGCAGCATAGAGTGTTTTTCAGAAGTGTTTGAGCCCATGCAGTGATTTCTTCTACAGAATCATGCCTGTTTTTAATTCAGTGCCACCTGAGGCCCCAGATATCAAGGCCAGCAAATACCGTTTTTTGGCCTTGTCCCTTGCATACAGAGATTTCTCCAGATTCTCTGAATCTTTTGATGATACCAGTACTGTAGATGATGAAAAGCAAAAGTTCTTTGCTATTTTACCTTGAGAAACATTATTCTTGAATGCACCACTCTGTAAAAGACTGCACTGTTTGCTCTTGGTCTTTCACAGAGTGGTGAACCCTTCCTCATCTTTACTTCTGAAAGACTCAGCCTCTCTGGGATGCTTTTTTACACCAAATGTTAGTGACCTGTTGTCAAGCAACCACCAGGTGTTTTTTTTAGCATTACACAACTTTACCAGCCTTTTGTTGCTGCCGTTCTAACTTTTTTGGAACATGCTGTTGGCATCAAATTTAAAATGGGCATATATTTTTAGAAAAACAATCAAATTTCTCAGTTTCAACATTTGATATGTTGTCTTTGTACTATTTTCAATGAAACATAGGGTTTAAATGATTTGCACATCATTGCATTTCGTTTTTATTTACATTTTGAACAGCGTTACAACTTTTCGGAAATGTGATTGTATTTTTTTTGTGAAAAGAAGTAAACACAATCTCTGCAGCAAACTATTTTAATATTTAACTGACATTTCTACATTTCTCTACAAATGTTAGAGTGCAATTACTTTACATTCGATTACCTTCAACAGAAAAGTAATTGTGCCATGTGCAAATGTTTGGACACCCCACTATGTCAGTGCTTAGTAACACCCCCTTTGTCAGATACCACAGCAGGCAAATGCTTTTCATATTTCAGGAATTGTATAACGGAAGACCATGTATAGTTAGTTATTACTGAGTTAAGCTTATTTGTATGGCCAACTTAATAATTCATCAAAATAATTGGTAGATTGCTCAATTGCTGATATAATCTTCAGTGACAGCCCTGTTTCAAACTTCAATGTGAACTCTCAAGGCAGAAAGATCAGATCTGACAAAAAATTAGAACTGATTAATAAAGCCTCTAACATAAACACAGCCAACGACAGGCTAGAACAAAAGCCTACCTGGAAGTGCTGCTCCAGCACCTGGATCTTCCCCTGTTCGGGACATTTCTTCAAAGAACGCTCTACGTACTGGAACAAAATCTCCACCATCTGAGAGGAAATAGGGAGCATCAGATCTGGATGTCCAACAGCCAATTAGTACTCTCTCAGTTTTCCTGCTAATGCCTCAAATTCACATATAAGAACACAAAAACCTCACACATATGCTTAATGAGTAATCACTGCCTTGACTCAGTTGAATTTACTCATGTATGTACTTAATAATACTAATTACTTTATATAACACAACTAAATTAAACATCTCAAATTAATTAAAGCAAAGCAGCCAATTCGCAACTGTCACAGCTTTCTCTGACTGTATGAACATGTACACATTTACCCCTTTAACTTCAGGCTTTTTATTATGTTATTAACCTTCAGACATTAGAGCCATAACAGATAACAGGCACTCGACACAGTCCTATCTGGCCCGCAAAAGTATTTTAATTTAATATTAGCATGTTTCACAATGCACTGCACTACAGTCCCCAGCATTCACTGTAACGTAATGTGCACTCCAGCTTTTCTACCCCAACAGCAATCTATGGGACAGCGGTTACACCTCAATTCTGCACAATTCTATAGTTCCACACCAGTCGTATCACCAAACAACTAACTGCAGTTAAGCCAGTAAAAACACTTTACAGCTCAGCAGCTCAGAAATTGAGCCCAAATATTAATGAACTTGCAGCAAAGAAAAGATGCCAGTTGTCTAGTTCAAGCAAATAGGTACAAAAACTGAGCTCCTGGGGACATTTAAATTTTGAATGTTTTAAATATTCATGTAGTATTCTAATGTCTACTACATGTGCCTATATTTTACTGTTGAAGAATTTGGATATTTTGAATAAACAATGGTCAGTTCGGTTTATAGCAAAGTGTTAATTAAAAATGAAATAAAACAGATGTTCTCTGGCCCACGGATTTGTTGAGATTTTTTAAAATATGGCCCTTTTAGTGGTCGAGTTTGAAAACCCTGCATTAGCGTAACTACTATGAACGGTTCAGTAGTATCGTGCTCGTAGACAAGAGTAAAGAACTGAAGTGAGTGCCTACAACTGCTCAAGACTGACTATTGATCCTGCTTGTTTTAATGGCTTGTTGGAACTGCAGTTAAACTCTTCATTGGAAAAAATAAGCTTTATATCAGACTATATAGACTTTCTTGTTATGAACATAAATCGTTTATATCAGGGGTGTCAAACTCAACCACTAAAAGGACCATATTAAAAAATCTCAACAAATCTGTGGGCCAGAGGACATCTATGTTTTATTTCATTTTTAATTAACGTTTTGCTATAAAACAGACCTGATCAGCGTTTCTTTAAACTACACAAAAACCTCAACAGTAAAATATGGGCACTTGTAATAAACCTTGAAATATTATGTGATTACTGGAAATATATTTTTAAAATGTAAATGTCCCCAGGAGCTCAGTCTTTTAAACCTACCTATCTGCTTGAACTAGACACATGGCATCTTTTCTTTGCTGCAAGTTCATTAAGACTTGGGCTCAGTTTCTGAGCTAAGCTAACGTTAAGTGTTTATATTGGCTGCACTGCAGTTAGTGGTTTGGTTATGCAACTGGTGTGGAACTGTGTAGAACTGAAGTGTAACCGCTGTCTCATAGTTCGCTGGTGGAGTAGGAGAGTCGGAGCGCACATTACGTGCAGTGCATGCTGGGGACTGTAGTGCAGTGCATCGTGAAACAAGCTAATATTAATAGAAGAATAAAATACTTTTGCGGGGCAGATAGGATTGTGTCACGAGCCTGATCGGGCCTTGTGTTTGGCACAAGGGATTTAGATGAATTGATGCATTGATAAAAACCCGTCAATACATTGAGTGGTTACTTAATAAGCATTAGCAGCAGTCCTATTTATGCTACCTTATCAGCCACCACTCCCTTCCTCTTCACAGGATCCCCGAATAAGCCTGAAAAACCAGAAGACAATAAACACAGCATGAGGGACTCTAGTCCACCAACTCCATCTGAATCTCAGAACTACACATGGGTGCTAAACAGTAATCCAACATTTCTTCAATACCAATAATGCATGTTTGAGGAACTGATTATGCCATTCTGCTGCACAATCTGGTATTAGCATATGACAGCAACTTTCCAGAGAATGAACATATGGGACTCAAGGATCATGTCTTCAAAGCACTGCTGAACTGTTTTTGGTGGATGAACACTGACTGAGCTCATTAGGGCTACAGATATTTATTCCACCTGTTGCTGTAACATCACAGAAGCAATGCTAAAACAGAAACATATAATGAGAATGAATGCTGACTCACCCAGTACGGCTTTGGCTGTGCCCTCGTGGAATGACCAGGCTAGAGAGAGCGCCTCTGTAAACTTCTCCTGCTTTAGTAAATGATCCACACGCTGTGAGGAAACCAGGAAAACACTAAATACAGCTACAAAGTAGTAATAACAAGCATTCTTTCTCACTGCTGTGAGGTTTAATTAGCTTTACAGAACACTGGCAAAAGTCTCATTCAGCCTAATTAGACATGAGAACTGAAACTTGTGAAAATATTTACACTTTAGGGGTGTAAGAATTCACAAATTTCATAACTCGCTTCCATATAATGATGTCATGATGCTATACATTTTCCAGTACAGCAATTTTTTCCCCCGATTTTCACATTATTAGATTGTTAAACATTATAAATGTATATCTGAGACATAGGTATACTGCATGCACTGTGCTAAGTACAAGTTAACGTGTTAGTTGCAAGCTAATACTCGCCTATGAGAAATGAATTCAACTTTAAGGTAAAGTGGAAGCAATCTTTTCCAACTAAGGACTGTCTGCCAACATTGTGGGAGGGCCGATTGATTTCTTTCATTACACTTCATACAGTACAAGCAGTATTAAAATGAGCATTTTTAGTACTTCTTTTATGGCATGTATTGTTCAATGCCCCATGTGTTCCTAATTGAGAGTCTGGTCTCAAACATCTGTTGAACAGTTGCACACAAAGTAAAATTTAGTGTGCCTTTTTCATTTTAATTGATATTTAGTTTTGCATGTCTGTGAAAAGACTGTCAGGATAGATTTGGATGCAGTTCTTGACATGTAATAGAGGTCTGCAGGTAAAAACATCTGTTTTAAGGAGAAAGTTCACCAGCCTGAGCGGCTTTAGGCCCAACCCCATTTCTTATATTTACTCCTACCCCTTGTTTTTGAGTGTCACCTTGTCCCTTGGAACGGAGTTACAAGTTGTAGTGGTTGAAATCTTCTCTATGAATGGGACAACCCTCAAATACAATTTACTTCATTAACAGGCTACTAGCGGTGCTTTGTGGGCGACCCTGCCAGTCTGAAGTGATAGCAATGGAGGGTAAAGTTCAGCAACCTCGCTGCTGGGCTTTGGTTCAATTTAGGGCATCATATGCCTTCAAAGTGGGGGGGGGAGTTATGACACCTGAGGCGCCAGAATGGAAATGCTGCACCATTTAAGGTGGAACGGGAAATTTAGCTAGCAACCTACCGAGACTTAAGCGTACTATTAGCTAATGACATTAAACTATGACACTACAATGGTTATCGTATTTTTTAACGGAGAAAAGACTCATATTTGTAGGTTTCTTTGGTGGCTCGTGCATCCATCTTGCTTTTTTCCCCCTCATTACACTCTGTTTGGAGAGCGCGTCTGAAAACCTCTGTTTGGAGGGCCGTGTATCCCAACACTTTGCTCTGCCCCTTTATCTATGCAGTAGGGGCAAGGGGTGAAATGGGATTGGGCCTTAACGTTGCTAATAACATTATAAATAGTTATTCCCCCGTTATTTCCCCAAACCCATTCGATAATTCAGCAATTTTGTGTGACCGGTACTTCTTGACCTTCTCAGCAGCATGTTTAGGGTCATTGCCCTGCTGGAGAATCAATTTCTTGCCAATCAAACATTTTCCAGAGAATTCTGCATGCCTTATTAACATTAGCTCGTACTTATCAGCTTTCAGCATGCCTTCAATTAAAGACAAATCACCAAATCAAAAACAGAAAGTACAATATGTTCACATGGCTGGGTCAAAAGTTTGACTGTACAGCCAACTGCACAGCTGTAACAAGTAGAATTAGCCATACTGGTAAATGAAAGTTAATTACAGTGTAATGGGTTAAACGTTATACATACCTCACGCCAGTTTCTAAGGGTCATAACATGGACGGACTGCATGAAAAAGGCAAATATAAAGCATTAGGATATTGTAACAGGTGAACACAGCAAACAGCTTTTAACGGAACGCCAGTGTGCATGCTAATCACAGTGACCTACTAACACTTTCAACTGCTTACCCACTGACACTTTAATTAGAAATATCACTCCCTCACCCTCTCTCTCTCCCTCTCTGTCTCGCTCGCCCTTGCTTCCTCCCTCCCTCAGGTAACCGGCAGTTCATGGAGGGCAGCAAGGCGAGCAGACCTCGTTGAATATTCATGATATTCACATTCTGCGCGCTGTCTTATTAGCATAATTGCAGCGGCGTATGCCAAAAGCTCAGTTAGATGTGATGGAAGACTCAGCCAAAAAGCCACAGCTCCTCCCCAAACCCCTCATTTAGCCACTGTTTGATGCTGTTAGCCCTTTTAAAAGAAACAAAAGAGCCACTACATACAGACTCCCACATACAGACTCACTTGTAAAAATCATAATTCTCGACCAAATAACAAACAAGTGCCTTGATTTTATAATAACGGCATAGGCTGTTCTAGAAGACCAGCATGTTTAGAACTACATGTGAAAAGAGACAAACTGATAAACTGAGGTTTCGTTTGTGTCTCTATTGCATTTTCTCTGCAGTCTGTCTCACAAAGCCGGCTAACGTCAAGCTTCAGTCCTGGGTTTCCAGTGTTACGACGGAGGATCACCTGTTAACAGGCTACATACACTGCTCACCTAGCCTGCTTCAGAAGACGTTAGGGATCATAAACAGCTCTTGGATCAATCAGGATCTGGCTTGTGACTGATCACCAGAGCTGTGGATCCAGCACCAGCCAGATTGGATCTGTCACCTTGTTCACGTATTAAAGGGGAATACCACCGATTTTGCTAAATTTCTGCATAATATGACAGTTCAGATGACAACACAGTCATTCAGAGTGGTTTCGATGTGAAACGGTTCATTTTAGAGGAAAAATTTACAGACTCAAAATTCTTTGCAGTGGTTGTGAGAGGAAAACCAAGGTCGCAATTTCTACAAATCTGCAAATACAGCTATTTTATTTCCCTCCCAAAACCACTATTGAAATTACACGTCTTCTAAGTTTTTATATGTAATGTTGATAATTAATTCACCATATATATATATATATATATATATATATATATATATATATATATATATATATATATATATATATATATATATATATATATATATATATATATATATATTGAGATTTATAGCTACAGATGAGCTATCATCTCAGGCTTTACATCTACAGGGTGGACTGACAACACAGGTGCGTGAAATGGGATTTTGATTTCAAGCTTAACCTGCTTCATTAAAGAGAGTCCCGGAAACTGTGTCTGTACCTTCGTTCCTAGGTAGACGATCTGGCCACCATAGCTGCACACAGACTGGTAACATGCCTTCTCCCCTACCAAAGCCTGCAGAACAGAAAACAGTGTTATTTATAGTTAAATTATTCCATAATGTAAGGCCCCATTTAAACCATTTATTCACAGCTGATACCAAATATAAAGCTGATTCAAGTATTTACAAGCAAGAGTGCTTCTCTCCGTATCACTGGGAATGTGGATCTTTCTTAACAGTCTACAATAATGAGGTGAAGCTGAGCATGGCCTCATTTTAGTGGCAGGAGATTAAATTAGTCTAAAGGGCTTCTCCAGTGTTTTTCAGCCTAACCTCTGTCTGCCACATCTGGAGCAAGCGGCTGATTACCATGGACAAATGCACAATAATTTTAATTATATTTCCCTACTTAAAAAAGAACAGACAACTCACTGACTGGAAACACTTCCAATAGAAGCCAGTGGGTAACTGCTGAATTTCGTCAATAAGTGTATTTTTGTAGAACACTCTCACCCTTCACTCTTCACCCTTCATTTATTTTATTTCCAGTCAAATCAGACAAAGTTATTAATTTTTCAGCATCAGGGAAAAAAAAAAAGCAGAAAACATTGTCTTAGTATTTGGTGTGTCCACTCTTTACAGTTTCCACTCGTTTCAGGAGACAGTTTCTCAAAAAATCTGCACGATTTTCCCACACCTCCAAAGTTCAATCTTTGAAGTGGGTTGTATTTTCTGCTACTCACAGCCCAAGTAATCCCAAACACACTGAGTGATGTTGAGGTCTGGAGTGGACAATCCACTGTTCTGTGAACACCAGCAGCTACCTCAATTCAAGAAAGCAGCTTTAAAGAAAATCAGAACCCCAGCTCCAGTGAGCAAGCCAAGGGCAACAGCAGCAAAGAAAAACCTGCCAAGAGCAAGAAACCTTGAGATGAACTCAAAAGGGGAACCTATCCTTAAAACAGAAATACAAACAGCTACATGAACATGCTTCCTCGGTTTCACAAGTACATCTTAATCTTCTCAGCAGTGTTGGTTGGGGTTGTTATAATGCTGTGGAACTCATTTCTTGCCCATCAAACATTTTCCACAAGGGTACTGCATGATGTGCTCAAATATGAAACACTATTTCGCCAAGTATATTACACATTTAAATTTGCCTTGGTGAGTGCACACATGTATGATGTGTCAGCAACTCAAATGCTAAGAAAAAAAAAAACAAAAAGAACATCTGCCTTGGGAGCCAAAACATTTTATGTCCATTTATTTAAGCAACGTTTTACTATCTTGGCTGTAAGTCTTAGTATATGCTAATGTATTAGTATAGGCTTAAAAATATAATATAAATGAAAACACAGACTAACTTTGCTCTGCTTTAAGCTTTAGCTCAGCTATAGCCAGTTTTTTTCAGAGCTTTCTCGCATCTCTGGCAGGAAACTTTTCCTCAAAAGTGGAATAATTTTTTTATGTCTCTCAACATTAGACCTTTTACAAGGCTGAAGTCAGCTTCTCTTTCGCCAGCTTCTTGTTCGAATTTTCCCGTTTCACCTTAAATGGTGCCTGAGGCTCCAGAAAGTAATTGCTGCAAATAAGCTGGAACAGGACAATTCAAACGAGAAACTGACTTCAGCTTCATGACTTTAGTGTTTGACAGTTTCTTGCTGCAGATTAAATGTATCAAGAAACCAGCTGGAATGCAAAATAAGTCCATTCGTCTCCAATTTTTCGATATATGTCTTAAATCTTTCCCTTTGCCTTTTCCTTAGCTACTAGCTAGGCAAGACTGTTGTCTGTGTTGCTATTGTGACCAGTAGTCAAAGCGCCAATCTAAAGGGTTAAAGGGTGAATTAGCAGTTATACATTAACTCCAGTGTTTAAGACTATTTATTGTTAAAATTGTGTTAGTATGACCAGCAGAGCTTCGTTTTACCGCAAAGCAGGATTACCTAAAAATCTAATTCTGCTGTGGAGCCGCAACAGGGCAGTAAAAGAGCCGACGGCTGCACTATACTATTATAAAAACCTGTTAGCATGTCTGGTTGTGCTGATTTTGATGGCCCCAAATCTTCTACCAGAGGGACAAGTCTGGAGGAGGTGATGTCCAGGATGAGAGGGGTCAGCTGTAAGTTTGCGGGTGCATTTCATTACCCTGCAGTCGCAGATGTTCTGAAGCACTGGCAGACGAGGTCCAATGATCCTCTGCACTGCACTGATTATACACTGGAATCTGTCTTGTTGTTGTTTGTACTTATTAGCATTAATGATCCTTTCAATTAAAACCTATAATGCTGTTCTACTTTCCTAAACTCACACTGATGTCTCATTGATGGCTGTAGACACGCCTGGGACTAGTTTTCCAGTCTTCTGACTTATAATAGAGCCAACTGGCTATTGGCTCTATTATAAATGAGTTTTGAGTCAGTTTTCTGTTCTTTACAAGTTAAAGGATGTTGAAATTATTGCTCATGGTCATCGATGGAACAACACAGAAATGGCAGACAGACATTAGGTTGAAAATTTTTAATTAAATCATACTCATATCCACTACTACTAGTGTCTGGTATTGAAACTATTCAGTATTTATTATTTATCTATTTAAATAAATTTATCTATTTATTTATTTATCCCAAGTTATCTTTGGTTTGTCCGTGTTCATTGTTCATACTTTATAATTCACAGCCAAACATCAAAAGCATTTTTCTCTGCTGTTTATGCCTCATACTAATTCCAATTACAAGCTCTGTAAGTTTTGTTCAGTTTCTGCACAGCGACATGAACAGTCCAATTAAAGCTATCATTTAAAACCACGCTCCACTTCTCTAACGACACAAACAACAATAATTTATTACCTTTAAAATAACTGTTTAGAAGGTTAATCACTCAAATGCAGAGAGACAGTAACGCATAAACATTATAAATGTTCTGAAAGCCACAGGAAATATCAAAAGAGAATGACTACAGAGTGTCTTTGAAGTCCTCCAATTTAACTTGCTCCAAATGTTTTCTTTTTTTTCCCCCACCTCACAAATATCTACTCTTTTTATACGGCACTGAAGAATAACATTAAAACTATACATGTCTTAATCAAATCGCAGAAAAGGCTGAATGTAATGGCATAACATTAGTGTTACATCAAAACCTCATAACTCAATTTATACAGTTGTTTATTGTTGTACCATCAGAAAATGTCAGCCGCCCTTCACATTATGTAAATGCTTCATTATGAACAGACCAACAGAAACGGTCCAAAGTCACACTGAAATAAGTTAAACATTTTTTCCTTCTTTTATAAAATGAAGGTTTTGTTACACCAGTGATAAGTTTCTGATAAGCACTGGTAATTTGCATGCATACAGGATCTAAAACATACAGTATAGAGGTGAGCAATGTGAAAACACTATTGTTTCTATGATAACATTTGTTATTGGGATAAACAATATGCTTTGAGCGCATTGCGGATCTCATCAGTACTGAAAGAACGCCGACCAGCTACACGTTTCCTTAAGAAGAGAGCACAGTCAGTCTTGTTTAACTGGACTGCAGTACAATGTGAGAAACGTTGGGTAAAAATCACTGTAAGAAGAGTTTTTAAATGTAGCACTACTAGTGCATTGTGTCTCTGTTGTGATGCATGTTGTTTGTCATGGAAACATCTTTGAGTATCGTGATATGATATTGTGCAAGATCGCCGATCCTCAATACAGTTTCTGTATGCATCGTGCTTACAATGTGCACTGCATACAGATTGTAGATCAGGGAAAAAAAATAAAACACCTGGTCATTTCATGTGACAGTAAAATGAATTTCCCATGACTAATGAATGTGTCTAAAAGAGAATTCCACTATTCTTTTTAAAAGCAGCATAATTAAATGGTTAAGATGTGAACAAAGTCATTCAGAGTGATTTGATGTGAAATGCACCATTCTAGAGAAACTCAGGACTGTTGATGGTGACGGTGATAGGAGCCAGACTACCAAGGAGGTTAATGTCTCTAAAAGCTTGCTCACAGAAAGCTCTTGCATGAAATGCTTATGAATACGCTGCCTTATTCCTGAGACATTGTTTTATGATATTCTGAGACAAGCTTTTGGCCCAAGTTGTATTTCTAAAATATATGCAGAGCATTGAAAGATGAAACAGTCCCCAAAGAAACCCACCCCCCACCCCCCAGATTTTCACTATTTTACCGATGTCAACATTACATATTGTGCTGAAGAAGAGGCAGAGTAGCCACCTTTCCTGCCACTATGTTGGGTGCTCCTCCCCAGATCACAGACAGCTGCTCGTTTGGCAGGAACTGAAAAAAAGGACCGAAACTAAGGTAAAGTCGCTAAAAGGTGTTGGATCAAGCTGGTTTATTTCACCCATGATGTGTAAATAAAATATGCTGATTAACTCTGCTGGTGCTGGTGTTGGTGCGTGTCTTTGAGCCCTCATCTGGTTTCCCAGTGAGTGTGCATCAGCCCCTCCACAGACCCAGGCCACAATATAAAAACTTGGAAACACACGTGTAGAGTCACAGGTGGTTTTGAGTACTAAATAAAATGGCTATATTTGCATTGTAGGCCTGGCAACCTGTTTCTATTATCACCACTGTAAAGAAGTGAGTAGAGTCAGTACGCTTCTCTACAATAAATCATTCCATATCAAATCACTCCAAACGAAATTTAGCAAAATCCATGGAATTCCAGTTTAAACCCCTTGGCCCCCTCTGCCCTCATGACCCCCCAGGTGGTGCTCACCAGTGCCTGGCTGACATTGCCTCCCGTGGCGAGGGATTTGAAGTGGCTGCTGTTATAGACCAGCTGGACGTCCGACAGATCCAGCGTCTCTAGCTCCTCCTGACTGGGCCGATCAAAAACATGCAGCTTCTCCCCGCTGTCCATCAGCACCAGCTGTGCGCGAGTTCAGCCACTGAAAAACACACAGGGAGAGTGCTCATCTATTCTGCTCAATTAACTGCACTTCCGTACACTTTAAAGCCATAGTTCAGCCAAAACAACACAGTGCTCCCCCTTACACCAAATCAAAGGTGGAAAAGAATAAAGAAATTGAATTTGACTGCAATTTTACATTAATATGTGACTGACTGACCAGAGAAAAAATGGTTGTGAGATATGTATGATGAGATGTGAAAACATAAGTAAAAAATTATGTCTGGAATTGCATTTAGTTTTGATAATAAATGTATAAATCTTTCAAAACAATACTAAATTATAGTAAAATACAAATGACACTATGTATGACACACAGTGTCAGAAAACCACATAAGCAAGTCTATTTGAGATCTCAACTCAGAGTTTGAGGCAAGTGTGAGATGGTGTAGGCATACATTGTGTAGAGTGCTAATAGCTAATGAGCTTGTTCACTACATTAGCCTCAAAGCTCCAGTGCAAAACTAAAGAAGCAAAGTTCAGACAACATACATGTTTGGCTGTTTGACTATACACATAAGCAAGCAAAGGCATTTGTTACACTACTTGAAAAATGCAGTATGATATTATTCAGCAAGCTTAGGGATGAGTCAGAATCTGAATATCTGAGGAGTCATGAAAGTGAAAAACTGAACAGTAAATCAGGACTGTTTTACGCAAATCAGCCTCTTTTTAACGTTTTACGTTTTTATATTGAAGAACCCTAAGATGTCTAAAAGCGTGCACCCGAGGGCGATGTAGAGCCTGTGTCTTATGTTTTTGTCAGAGTTTCTTTTCTGTTTACTCCAAAGAAGAAAGCCTAAAAAGACTACTGCAGCCAGCTAAAGTCTGGGTCTCTGACAGTCTGGGTAGCATTTAGTGAATTTAGTGAAGTTACAGGTTTTACCAGCAAAGTAACTCACTTCGTTTTCTAGCTAGCTATGAGAAATACGATGTGGCTAGACTAATAACATTAGCTAAGGTGAATGATGATCAGCATTTGTTTGTTTTGTTTTTTTTTTTTTAAGACTTTAGATCAATTTAAAGCCACATCACTTACTATGAATTTGTGGTCTGTGTCTGGGTTTAATGTACAGTCGTAAGCAAATGTTTGAACATCTCTGCTCAAATGATGTGTTTTGTTGATTTAAGTTAACATCTTCTACAGATGGCATTTTTCTGCAAATTTTAGCAGACAATTTCTATTTATTTCATGAGTTTGATATATTGCGAAAAAAATAAATAGAAAATGTGCCATAATGTTTGCACAGGCCATATTTTATTACTATTGTTATGTATTTTTTCACATTAGGTTAAATTCAGCAAATAAGTAATGGTGCATTAAAATGTGCAGACGTGTGTTCTCTGTAGGGGATGTGTTCACTTAAAAGATCAAAATGATTCCATTCAAACCATATCAAAATATTTATTTTATCAAAATAAATGTATATGTATATATCTTGAATATCAAATTTGACTAAAATGCCCATTCCTAGTTAACACACCCCCCCCGTTAACTGTTACATGTTTTGTTATTATTAAGAGTAATTCTGCCTTTATGTGTGCTGTGTTGTAATTGCTTTGGCAATGCATGTAAAACAGTCAGGTCAATAAAACCTGTTAGATGGAGGGCAATAAAAAGAGAGATTACAAGGATGTCCCATAAGACTAACATTACATTCTGTTAAAAACACTAGGAGTGAGTAAAAATACGAGTTTGTTTTTGGCCACAAAAGACGAGCCCTGAAGATCAAACTCACTGTCAGACTGATGAGGTCACAGCTGAGCTGGAGCTGTCGCTGTTTGATGACATGGACTGTTCCAGATTCATCCTTCTTCACCTATGAGCACGCAAACACATGCGCACACACACGCGCGCGCACACACGCACACAGTAATCATCAGTTAAGTCTCAAAATGCCCTTTAGACAATCTTGTTTTAAGCTGACAGCACATATAAAAAATATTTTAATAATTCTTGCAAATTACAATAAAATAAAAAATAGGAAAAATAAATGATAGGACAAAAAATAATATCACTTTATAATAACAGACCCCGACAAACAGCAAAAGAAACATTATTTAATAATATATTAATAAAACTTAATTGTGCAAAAGTTATTTGTGTATTAATAACTGCATACACACACACACACACATACACACAACATATATATATATATATAATTATATACTATATATATATATACACATCACAATAATAATTCACTATATCACACACACACACACACACACACTATTACATAAATTTGTCTGTTAAAGATAAAGCTGTTGTTTATTAGGGCCTGTCATAAAGTGTTACCAAGTATTCAAGTAATTATGTATTGCATTTCTCATCCCTAGTGTGTTTTATGGACCCTTTAATTTTTTTTATTTAAAGCTCTGCTTCTCTTTCAGCCACTAATCCTAATTCCTAATAATGATTACCAGTAGGAAGTGGACGGTGTCCCCTCTGCAGAAGGCTAGAATGGGGTTCACTGCTTTCTGCACGGCCACAAACTGCCATGCTAACTGAGGCACGCTGGCAGGATCAGTCTGAAAACAAAGAAACAAACAAAACAAAATCACATAAGTCACAGTAATGCTTCATTTAGACAGGAGTACTAGCCGATAACCGAGATGCGATCTGATGATTTGCATTTTCTAATAAAAACATCTGTACAGTGCACAATAGTATAACCAATTCTATTCAGGTAAGATCCCAGCCTGCCACTTATTTTAAGATGCTAAAATCTAGGATAGTAATGATGCACATACTTTCAGGCTTAACCAAATTTTCCATTCTGAGGTCAAGATTCATCTGATTTCTGATATTGTGTGTTTATAAATGTCTTGTTTCTACATTCTCAGAAATAAAGGGATTAAAGTTACTGTGGTGGTCTCCTTCAAACACACATTTTCAGCACCTTTAGTTAGGGAACATAACTGCACCATATTCTGTTGCATTTATATACATTTTTAATTTGCACTGACTCTACACTGTCTTGACTCAAGGCTTTTTATTGTGTTTTTCTATTTAAGACTGCACTACAGTCTCAGGGACTGGAGGCGTCTCTAGTCTTCATCAGTATAGTGTCGACTTCACATGTGAGACACACATCGAGTTGGACCTTCTTTCTGAGCCTGTGAGCACGATGTTAATACGTAAAGACGTGGACTGAAAAACTGGTAATGTGAACATGGTGCGCCTTTAAAACTCATTTAAACTTGCCATAAAGTGAATTAAATCCTGAGATTAAGCTTTCAAGCAGAATACTGCATCACTGCATCGCTGGATGATTTAATGCATAAAAAATTATATTAAAAAACAGACGTGAACACTTCAACAGTGTGGCAGTATCAGTACAGCGATCTAGAAAAGGTTAAAGTACACAACTGGACGTTAAGGACATTGTTGCACCTTTGAGGGTGTATTTCCGTTGTTTGTATATTGGGGGACTAAGGCCCAGTCCCATTTCTTATTTTTACCCCTACCCCTTGTTTTCGCCTGTCACCTCGCCCCTTCTAACTGAGTTACACGTTGTAGTGGTTGAAGTCTTCCCCAACGAAATGGGACAACCCTCAAATAAAAAAAGAACATGACTTCACTAACAGGCTACTATGCTCTGTAGGCGACCTGGTCAGTCTGCAGTGATCAGTCAGCAACCTCGCTGCTGGGCTTTTGGTTAATATAGGACATCATATACTCAAAGAGGGGGATGCGATAATTATTTATTATTGCCCACCCCTACTTCTTCAGTGATATGAAGCTGAAGTCAGCTATTCGCTTCTTGTTCGGGTTTTCCCCATTCCACTTTAAACGGAGCAGCAGTTACATTCTGGCATGTTAGGCATCGGTTCCTGCTGGACTATTTAAGGTGGAACAGGAAATTAAGCTAGCTGGCTTCCAAGACGTTAACGTACTATTAGCGATTTTCTTTGAAAAGGTTCATAATACTTTGAAATGACATTAAACTAAGATAATTAGTGGTTATCATAATTTAACAGAGAAAATACTCGCATTTGTGGGTTTCGTCGGTTGCTCGCGCAGCCATCTTGCCAGTGTTTTCTTTAGTTTCCTCATAACACTCTGTTTGGAGTGAGTCTCTGAAAAATCTCCGTTTGGAGGGCCATGTAGCCGTAACACTTCACCCTACCCCTCTATCTCAACTAAAATCAGGACACCCTACCCTGAGGCGTAACAGCGTAAAACGGAGGGCTAAGGGCTCAGTGGTGGGGGTGAGAGGTGAAATGGGATTGGGCCTAAAGCTCTAATTATTTACTACAGATTGATTTGAGACTGGATTGGCACATCCCTATGGAAAACCATTACCAGCACATTCAAAAGTAGAGAGAGAGTCACGAAGAGACGGTGGAAGAGGGAGAATACAGTCATTGTATACTTCCCTTCTGAATCATTCACGAAAAGAAAACAATATATGCAAAGGCGCAGCTCTGCCGAGGGATAGAAGACAAGCCATGAGGAGAACATCAAGAGAACTCAGCTCTTTCTCTTTTCCCTCCCACATGAAAGAACAACCTGTCTTAGTCAGAGGAAATGACGTTTAACCAGATTTCACTTGACTTTATCGCTCCAGTGCCACAACAACAGAGGGGGACTTTCATAAGGACCCCCAACGGCTTCAGCAAAGGCTTTCTGTAGCTGCCAGTCTAATACAGCAGTGTGAAGAAAAAGAGCTATTGAGAAAAATAATTACACCTCTCTATGGAGCTTTATAGTAGAGACACAGAGAGAGAGAGAGAGAGAGAGAGAGAGAGAGAGAGAGAGAGAGAGAGAGAGAGAGAGAGATCAGCATGCTTTGTGCTCCTGGACAGCTTAGATCCTGAGAAATTAGTTTGAATGGAATGTGGCGTTTATAAAAGGGCAGAGTCATTATATCAGACAGAAAAAAGAAAAGGAGCAAGATATGGAGAAAAGAAAGATGGAAAGTGTGGATAAATTAAAAGACATAAAAGAGACAGAAATAGAGAGAGCAAGAAAGAGGAGGGAGAGGGTGGGAAAGAGAGCAAGGGAGGGAGGGAGAGAGAAAGACAGACAGACAGACAGACAGAGACAGAGAGAGAGAGAGAGAGAGAGAGAGAGAGAGAGAGAGAGAGAGAGAGAAGGTAGAAACAGGACAGAGGAAGAGAGAAAAGAAAGGTAGATGAATACAGGAGGAGTGAGAGAAAAAGGCAGAGAAAGAATAGAGGGAGAGAGACTGAAAGGAAGGTAGTGAGAGGAAGTATGAAGAGTGAGAAAGGAGAGAGGGAGAAAGACAGAGAAAAAGAGAGAAAGAGAAAGGTAGAAACAGGACAAACGGAGAGAGAGAAAGGTAGATCAAGGATAGAGGAACACAGAGAGAGAGGGAGAGAGGGAGGAGAGAGAGAGAGAGAGAGAGAGAGAGAAAGAGAGAGAGAGAGAGAGAGAGAGAGAGAGAGAGAGAGAGAGAGAGAGAGAGAGAGAGAGATAAAAGGTAAAAACAGGACACAGGGAGAGAGAAAGGTAGATCAAGGATACAGGAACACAGAGAGAGAGGGGGAGAGAGAGAGAGAGAGAGAGAGAGAGAGAGACAGAGAGAGAGAGAGAGAGAGAGAGAGAGAGAGAGAGAGAGAGAGAGACAGGAAAGAGAAAGAGAGAGAGAAAGGTAGAGACAGGATAGAGGAACAGAGGGAGAGGGAGAGAGAGAGAAAGAGACAGAAAGAGGTAAAAGGTAAAAACAGGACACAGGGAGAGAGAAAGGTAGATCAAGGATAGAGGAACACAGAGAGAGAGATAGAGAGAGAGAGACAGGACAGAGAAAGAGAGAGAGAAAAGTAGAGACAGGATAGAGGAACAGAGGGAGAGGGAGAGAGAGAGAGAGAGAGAGAAAGAGAGAGAGAGAGGTAAAAGGTAATCACAGGACATAGGGAGAGAGAATGGTTGACAAAGGATAGATGGGTAAGGGGGGGGGGCGAGAGAGGGAGAGATAGGTAGAGAGAGGAAAAGAGACTGCTGACTTTAAAAACCTTTCATTAAAGTTCATATTAGGTAACAGGTCTACATATTATTAAAGGAATAGAAAAAAAGAGGTGAGAAGAAAACAGATTCCAATTAAGAACAGTTCACCACTGAAAGAATACTACACCAGTATCATCCAGTGCTGGGCAGAAGGCCATTGTACAGGAGCCTCCATTAAGGACACATGCATGTCCTCAGGGACAGAAAGATGGACTCCATTTAGAGTCAACCCTTCCTTTTAGCCCACTGAAGGAATCAGTCTGTATACAGCTCTGGTGCATGGCTCTCTTACCCGCTTTTGAGAAAGTCACGCTCTGCAAACCTCCAACATTTGTCCCTCCCCATTCCTGTCCTGAAGAACACTTGGAGTAACGCAGTTGTGTGTCCCTGTGCCTGATTACCTATTTCCCACCCTTAAATCTATCAGATCCCTAATCGCTATTATGCCTGCTTTGGTAAGGCAGAGTAGTGTTAAAACAATAAATATATTTGAAGCGTTGGCTCCATCATCAGGAGATCGCGGGTTCAATTCCTAATGATGCTACAGCCATCCGTGGCTGGGAGTCCAAGAGAGCACATCTGGCCTTGCTCATTGGGTGGGTAGGATGCCCTCCCCCCTGATCACTCAGCGTGATGCTAGCCAGCGCAGGCATCTGTTAGCCAGCGTAACAGAACTGGCAGTTGGCGCTTTCCTCCAAGCGCGTTCAGCTGGCCAGTGATGTTGCGTGAGTGGCAGTTCGAAAAGATGCGGTGGCGCTTCACAGGTCTTGGAGGAAGCCTGTGCTAGCCTTCGCCCTCTTACCGATGGTGGTGTTGTGTGACTGGGGGAATCCTAACTAGCGGGTGGAATTGGATATGACTAAACTGGGGAGAAAACTTGGGAAAAATCCAATAAAACATTCAAGAAAAATGGATTTGAGGACAAGGGTTCAACTAATCCATAATGAGCCTCATTTTCCCTTCACACCTTTAAACAGCTCCCCAGACTCAAAACACAGACAAAATTATTTGTTTTACAGTATTCCCTGACATCAAAAAAAGCTGTGTATTGTAGTCCAATCCACCAAATGTCCTAATCGCCAGCCCAAACCAAATCCGGATGCTGCAGGCACAACAAGCACCCTTCCCCAGTATGATAACTGATGAAGAATCTCCACCTCTGGAGTCTGCTGAAGACTCTCTCTCAGGCCCTCCTACTTATTCTGCATACACACATCCAGTTTAATCAAGCTGATGTGGCTGAATAGAATTTGCCAAGACAACCAGTCAATATCATCCTTATTTTTAATGAACACTGTTACATCATCATCATATGCAATCAGCTTCACTGATATAGCTTCTTAAGTGCTGGGAGTGTGGACCGAGACTCCACAGAGCTGCTTTTGCAGGGCCACCGACCGCTCAATCGCTATCGCATATAACAGCCCTGAGAGACCACGGCCTTGCCGTATTTGGCTCTTCACAGAGGTCTTTGTGAGAATTTTCTGAATTTACTGAATTTTCAGTAAACTGTACACATCAGAATATAACAATTTGACACAAGAAACAAATTCTGGGCCGAATCCAAAGACTTCAAGCATCCTATAAAATAAAGACGCGATCCACCTCATCAAAATCTTTTGGTTCAGTAAAAAAGCCCATGCTAAGGTTTTTCCATTCAACATTAGCAAATAGGTCTCTGATTAAAAACAAGTCGTCCAAAATGGAACGCTTTGGAACACAAAAGGATTGATCACTGTGGATGATCATACTCCGTTTCATTCAACTGGTCAGAGCTTTAGGCGGGAGTGAGAGAGAGAGAGAGGTTAGAAGAAGAGTGAGAGAGAGAGACAAAGGTATAGAGAGTATACAAGAAGAGAGAGAGCAAGAGAGAGAAAGAAAGGTAGAGAGATGATAGAGGAAGAGGAAAAGAGAAAGGTAGAGAAAGGATAAAGGAAGAGAAAGAAAAAGCAAGAAAGATAAGGTGGAGAGAGGCTAGAAGAAAGGAGAGGGATAGAGAAAGGTAAAGAGAAGATAGAGGAAGAGAGAGAAAGAGGACAGAGGAAGAGAGAGAGACAAAGACAAAGACACAGAATACAGATAGAGGATAGAGAGAGGCAGACAGATGATAGAAGGGGAGAGAAAAAGGCACAGAAGATAGAGGAAGAGAGGAGCAGAGGAAGAGAGGAGAGAGAATGTTTAAATGTTTAAAATTACAAATATGCCATTAGTTTGCTACTTATATACTATAATAATAGTAATAATAGTAATAATAATAATAATAATAATAATAATAATAACAAAACAGTTCTAGTTATTAATATGGTTATTCGTTATAGTTCGTTATTTCCTTCCTTATTACCACTGTAATCACTGCATTTAAAAAAATAAATGTCCATATCCATTTGTCTGGCATGTAATTATTTTCCAGATGTTACATACCAAAAACAGTCATAACTCATTTTTACATGACCATTTTCCAACCTTTCTTTATCCCTTACAACTATTTTTTATTATGTTTGTTACTGTGCCTTTAATTATTTTATATTTCTAAATGAGCTCTGATCTCTGATTGGCTGCCTGAATTGTATTTTTGACTTATTCAAAAAGCAGTCCAGGCTGAAACACTGCAGTGTGAACGGGCAGGGCTATATGTAAGTATTAATATTAATTAATACTAACCTGCAGTGACACACATACTTAAATTCTTGTTCTCAAAATCACCCTTTAAAACAATAATATCGACTTTTCATAATTACTCATTAATGTGAGCACTCCAATAAACATCTGAAATTCGTAAACTGCTGTTCAGGCCAGCCATGATGTTTAGATAGTATATAAAACTTATGTAAAAAAAAATAATAAAATAAAAAATAATAATAATAATAATAATATAATAATAAAGCATAAATTGATCACATGAAAAAAAGCTAAAAAAGGCAGATACACACTTATGCGCACACACAGGTAAGGGTGGTTTTGGAGATGTACCTTGCCATATGGAAAAGTCATCCAGACCTTTAGAGAAGGCTTCAGTCCGATCACCAAAATCTGAGAGAGAGAGAGAGAGAGAGAGAGAGAGAGAGAGAGAGAGAGAGTGAGAGAGTGAGAGAGAGTGAGAGAGAGAGAGAGAG